TCAAGACCCTGTGTATCACACCCGCACCAAGCATATTGAACTCCGGCACTTCTTCATCCGTGACCTTGTCCAACAGGAGCAGCTGAAAGTGGAATACGTTGCATCTGACTGCAACCTGGCTGATCTGTTCATCAAGCCCCTTGGGAAAGTTCCCCACCACCGTCTCCTAGGCGCCATGGGGCTCTGTGCACCACCCTCTCTACCCTGAGTTCGATTGACGCCTATGGGGGGGTGTTAGTGTTAGCCTTCAATCTCACACTTTGTACTTTGTATTTTCTATACCCTAGAGTAGTGTAGTTTGCATATTGTGTTTGGTTGGGTGTACACCTACATCCCTACCAAACCCAAATGTAATCTCCAAGCAATCTCCAACCCACCAATTGGAGATTGCCTTGGGATTACCCCCAATCCCTAGGGATTGCCCCCGATTCCCTTCCCCATCCATTCCCTACCCTTCTTGGATGTACTTAAAGAGCTTCAAGCTCATTACTAATGCATCGCTTCTAAGCCTAAGTTCTCACAAAGGATGCCATGTGGGTGAGGGGCGCACAGGCAAGGATGCCATGTGGGTGAGGGGCACACAGGCAAGGATGCCATGTGGGTGAGGGGCGCACAGGCAATGCCATGTGGGTGAGGGGCGCACAGGCAAGGATGCCATGTGGGGGTGAGTGGGACTCCGAGTCGCAAACTCTCAGTCCGCGGCCTGCCCTGGTCTGTGCTGTGCTGCACAAGTCAGTGAACTTGCTTGCGCTGTGCAGCTGCGGCCTGCTTGCGCTGTGCTGCTGCGGCCTGCTTGCGCTGTGCTGCTGCGGCCTGCTTGCGCTGCGCTGCTGTGGCCTGCTTGTGCTCTTGTTGCGCTTGCTTCTGTGCTTCTCACGGACAAGTCCCCCCTGTCCCCCTTCCCCTCCCCTGCTGCTTGCTGCAGGTGCGTCCTTTACTGGAGCTAATGAGGGCGATGGGGGAGGAGAATGGCGGCAAGAGCTTGTGACTTGTGAGTCGACTCCAACGTTCATTGGCTTCTGCCTCATCTCTTCCCCCCCTCCCCTCTTGCTGCTTGCTGCAGGTGCGTCCCTTGCTGGAGCTTATGAGGGCTATCGGGGAGGAGAATGGCGGCAAGAGTGTGTCTCAGGTATGCATGGTGGTGAAAGAAACACTTTGGTAAGTAACTGAGGAACTTCATTGAAACATATAATGTTCCTGGGTAGAGATGACTTTTGACGTCTCAAGAGATGCAGGCAAGAATGACGGTATTGAAATCACTTTTGAGAATGACTGTATTGAAATCACTCTTGAGAATGACTGTATTGAAATCACTTTTGAGAAGGACTGTATTGAAATCACTCTTGAGAATGACTGTATTGAAACCACTCTTGAGAATGACTGTTGAAATCACTCTTGAGAATGACTGTATTGAAATCACTTTTGAGCATGACTGTATTGAAATCACTTTTGAGAATGACTGTATTGAATTGAAATCACTTTTGAGAATGACTGTATTGAAATCACTTTTGAGAATGACTGTATTGATTTTTTTTTTGAGAATGACTGTATTGAAATCACTTTTGAGAATGACTGTATTGAAATCACCTATTGAGAATGACTGCATTGAAATCACTTTTAAGAATGACTGTATTGAAATTACCTATTGAGAATGACTGTATTGAAATCAATTTTGAGAATGACTGTATTGAAATTACTTTTGAGAATGACAGCATTGAAATCACTTTTGAAAATTATTGTATTGAAATCACTTTTGAGAAAGACTGTATTGAAATCACTCTTGAGAATGACTGTATTGAAATCACTTTTGAGAATGACTGTATTGAAATCACTTTTGAAAATGACTGTATTGAAATCACTTTTGAGAATGACTGTATTGAAATCACTTTTGCGAATGGCTGTATTGAAACCACTTTTGAGAATGACTGTACTGAAACCACTTTTGAGAATGACTGTGTTGAAATCACTTTCGAGAATGACTGTGTTGAAATCACTTGTGAACATGACTGTATTGAAGTCACACTCACGAGTCGCAGATTCCTCGAAAATCCCTTTTAAAGGATGTCTTCCCTAATTTTCCTCCCCCTCAACCCCTTCCCTTCCATGTCCCCACCAGGTGGCTTGGCACTGACCGATACCATGTACAGTGCCATGTTTGAGGCGCCTCAAAAGGCACTGACCGAGACCATGTACAGTGCCATGTCCCGGAATTTCTCCCCATCAAGGGTACAAGGGAGCAATCCCCGTCAAGCCTGTTCCTTCCCTTCACACACTCCCCATGTTCCCTCCTCTTCCGTGTCTCATTACCATACAGGTCGCCCTTAACTACATCATGTGCAAGGGTGCCATTCCCATCCCCGGGTACGTTGCAACTTGCTTGCACCTATGTGACCCTCCTCACTCACATCTCTCTGCACTCACAGCCCTATCTTATGTTTCTGCGCTCTTCCCTGATGATGCCTTGTTAAGATTCTTCTTTACTATTGGCTTTTTGCATTCTCAGCTGTTTCTATCTGCTCCAACAAATAATAACAGTTCTACAGATGTCACTCCATATCAGCTGTGATCATTGTTCACTTGCTATGGCCTGGCACAGCAGTGTGACCCTTCACTATTCTCCGGCTTCTTTTTTTCCCTTTTTCTCACTTGCTCCTTTTCCTTTGGTGACACCTGTTCTTTCAGTTTTCTCACATTGCTCCTCTTCCCCTTTCTCAGATTGCTCCTTTTCTCCTTTCTCTTTCCTTCATGTGTATATTTTCTTTTCTTTTATCGTCCCGTCCCATCCACCAACACCAACAGGTGCAAGACAGCAGCGCATTCCACAAGCCACCTGGGCAGCATGGGCTGGCGCCTTACACCAGAGCATGGTAGATATGCTTGCGTTTTAGTGCGGTGGACTGAGGTACTATTAGGTTCAAGGTAGAGCGCAACAGGTGCAAGACAGCAGTGCACTCCACAAGCCACCTGGGAAGCATGGGCTGGCGCCTTTCACCTGAGCATGGTCGATATCTTGCAGTGTAGTGCGGTGTATCGAGGTGCAGTGCGATGCAGGTTAGAGTACACTGTGGTTTATTTCTGTGAAAACTCTAGTGTGGCTCGCTCTCCGCTCTCAGACCACTTTCGTCTCACACACTCACACTCTCTTCTCATACACTCACACTCTCTTCTCATACACTCACACTCTCTTCTCATACACTCACACTCTCTTCTCATACACTCACACTCTCTTCTCATACACTCACACTCTCTTCTCATATACTCACACTCTCTTCTCATATACTCCCACTCTCTTCTCATACACTCACACTCTCTTCTCATGCACTCACACTCTCTTCTCATACACTCACACTCTCTTCTCATACACTCACACTCTCTTCTCATACACTCACACTCTCTTCTCATACACTCACACTCTCTTCTCATACACTCACACTCTCTTCTCATACACTCACACTCTCTTCTCATATACTCCCACTCTCTTCTCATACACTCACACTCTCTTCTCATGCACTCACACTCTCTTCTCATACACTCACACTCTCTTCTCATACACTCACACTCTCTTCTCATATGCTCACACTCTTCTCTCACACACTTAGACTCTCTTCTCATACACCCACACTCTCCTTTCACACACTCACACTCTCTTCTCACACAGTCACACTCTCTTCTGATGCACTCACACTTTTCTCACACACTCACACTCTCTTCTCTTACTCATACTCTCCTCTCATACACTCCCAATCTCTTCTCATACACCCACACTGTTTTCCCATAAATTCTCACTCACTTCTCACACTCACTCCCTTCTCACACTCTGACTCTCTTCTCACCCACTCTTCTCACTCTCTTGTCACGATCTCTCTCTTCTTACACTCACACTCTTCTCATGCAACTCTAACGATCATCCCTCCTCCCTTCCCTCGTCACCTTCCTTATCCACTCATCAACCTCAGAGTGGCACAAGCTCTCAGCATGCCAGCAGCATGTGTATCCATGCAACCTCCAGCAGCATTGATTGCTGTGTCTCACATATCCATGGCATGGCAACTCGGTTTTCTTGAATTTGTGGTGCTTTCTCCGTGCTTTTGCATTCTCCGTGCTTTTGCATTCTCCGTGCTTTCCTTTCCCCCCATGGCAGTTTTGGCACTGGAAGAGAAGGCTGAGCAAGTGAGGTGACGGCATTGTCTCTTGGTGATCGGTTGTGCCATACTAATTATGACTTCATTATTCATATGTGTACACTCAGGGCCCAAAATTGGTTTAGGCCTACCCTTACAAATCAGGGTTCCAGCCCAGGGCCCAAAATATCAGGGTAAAACGCCCTGATTACCCTGGGGGCCTGGAATCCAAGTGGATAATACGGAGCTACTATTCCTACTACTGTAATTGTAGTAGCTCCATTATTGTCTTCCTCCCACCTGGATTTATGACAGACAAAGTCCAGTACTGTTTATCTGCTCCTGAGCAGCAGACAACCAACCACATTTGAGCTGGTATTGCAGAGGTTCATGGTTAGGACGCGGTGAAAGTGCAAATTTCGCAGGATCGTCTGCACATATCGATCCCCGCAATCGATTGGGCAGATCGATTGGCGAGACGTGGCGATCGCGACGTTGTAACGATCGCCACTGAAATTTGATGGATCTCCCGCGATTTGTGATCAGACGCATTCACACACTGTCCAAAAAACTGGGCCAAAGAACGCACTGCAGCATGGTTCCAACGTAGTAAATAGGGTAACCTATCCGCACATCGATCGCGACTGATGATCGATCGTGTACTTGTACCACGTCCTTATACCTTTTTCTTCAACAAGCCAAGCTTTTCTCTTACACTTGCAGAGCTGGGATTCAGGTACGGGTAAGGTGATCTTTGAAACTCATTGTGTGCTGTATAGGGCCAGGTCAGCTCTGAGCGCAAAACCTTTTATATTTACTACAGTTGCACAACAACGCAAGACCAAAACGTGCAAGCGTAAAAAGGCAGGGTCATTCAATCTACAGAGGTCGCAGTGAGGGATAGTCCTCGAGCATGTCGCGCGTTGTGAGTGTGTCCTCCTCATTTTGCGGCGTCCACAGCACCTCCACGGCCTGCCATAATGCACACAGTGTAGCACATGGTGAGCTTACTCCGGCACATGAAGACCGAATGCTCTAAGACAGGTTGACGGTAGAGCATAAACGGGACAGGCAAGAAAGGGATGCTTCTAGTGCATTCTGGTTAGCTGCAGGTCAGATGCAGCTGTCAAAGGTAACTTTTTACTCTGGTTAGTCATACTTCATGTATTAACAGCTCTCTCCACAGCAGTAAGTCTACTCTATCAAGCTTGAAATCACAACCACTCATAACACCCCGTTACAGTCACTCACCTGGAGCTCGTCAGCAGGGATGGACCCTAGGATGGTGAGCGCCTCTCTCAGGTCGGCAGTAGATTTAACCTCGGGCAGCACGAAAGTTCCCTCTGTGGCCGCCAGAATGGTGACCTGTCAACACGAACAGCGAGAAAGATCTTAAGATTACAAATGCTTGTGACTCAAGGCAAGAAGAGGCATAAGAAGCAACAGTGAAGAACAGATGAACACACAAAGCTGCAAAAAAAATATTCAAAACCTGGAGAATTAATTACTGTATAGGTGCAACGTACCACAATGTATTCGCTGTTCATTCGCTGCTCGCTGGGCTCGCGCTCCGACCGTTTCCGCATGTCGCCGACATTGACGAGTGTCTCCTCCTTGAACTTGCTGCGCTCGCCCATGCTCAGCCGGTTGAACGCCGCCTCCCCCCCGTACGAGTCATTGGCCGTCTCCGACTGCGCGTATGAGATCAGGGAAAGGGTTGCAGAGAGATGAGATTGAGGTCAGAGAATGGTTTTTGAGCCAACTACAAAACCGACATTGACGAGCGCCTTCTTTTCTGCGCTAGCCCATGCTCAGCCGGTTGAACGGCGCCTCCCCTCCGTACGAGTCGTTGGCCGTCTCCGACTGCGCGGATTAGATCAAGCACACGGTTTGCAAAGCGAGGATATTGTCTACCGTTTTGATGGCGGATGTTTTGCTTTGATGATTGAGATTAAATGGAATTTAGTGATAAGGAGCAGACGAAGAAAGGCGTGGGAGAAGGAGGGAGATACAGGGTCGGAGAGAAACAAAGAGAGTGTAGGGTGGGAGGGGGGAGCGGGGCGGGGGGAGGGGGAAAGGAGAGCTGAAAGTGAATGAAAGGGAAGTGGATGGGAAAGGAAGACGCAGATTGTCGAATGCGGTGAAATGCGGTGAGATGCGGTGGAGGAGGAAGGAGCGTACCGTGGAGAAGCCGTAAATGCAGTAGTCGGGGTTGCGCAGGAGAGCGAGAACGGTCTCTGAAGGAAGGAACGGGAGCAGCGGAGATGAAAAGAAGAACGCATGGGCGGTGAGATACGGGCTGGCTGGGACATTTTCTAGATGAGAAAATAGGTCGGAAACACCAGCCACACACAGAATCTGGATATAAATCGGCCGAAAAGTGACCGTTATTCAAGCAATGCGAGGGTCCATGTCCGCGAATCACGGATGCTCACCTTGGAGGATGGAGTGCAGGCCCTCCTGCGAGCCGGTGTCGGCGCGCGACGCCATCTGGTCGAGGTCGCGCTGGAGCTTCCTCGCCGTTCCCAGCAGGCCCACCTGCGAGGGAGCGAAGCGCGGCGGTACAAATATTAGTGATTAAGCATGGATTATTGGGGATTGGCAGTCCGTTCCTCCTAATGGGTAAGGAGCGAGAGGGGCGAGTTACTAAGACGGAACCGCTTCGTGTCCACCTTATGTACACGCGTTACACAAGCAGGTTTCCCTGTGATTCACTGAACTACTCCATTACGTGACGTGCGCTAGATACTGCAGCATTGACGTGAGCGTCCTGCTGCGCGCACCCCATGTTTCATTGCCACTCACTCTGCTTACCGCTTTCATCAACTCTTTGCCAATGCACTGCGTAATGCACCCTTGCTACGACATAATACCCCTTACAATGAAATGCGCTCCAGTCACAATTGATTGAATGCACCCTCGCTGCTCACCTGCAGGCGAACCACGCTGCTGCGCTGCGTCTCCGCCCACACCTCCTCCTCCGCTGAGTCCGCGAGGAACCCCATCACGGTCTGCGCGATGAAGTACACGGCGATTGCGAGAAACAGGAACCCGAATATGCCGCCTCCGCCGCCCAGCGAGATCGTCGGCCCGAAGAAGAAGAACGGCGTCGGCATGAAGAACGGCGTCACGGGCGCGACCACGACCGGAGGCGCGGCGTAGGTGGCGGCGGGAGGCGCGTAGGTGTTTGCGCGCGACGCGGAGAACGAGCTTCCGCCGACGCGGCCTCCGCCCTGCGCGGCGAGCGCGTCGTTCGGCGTGCCTGTGAGGACTGAGGCGATCAGCGCGGCCGCAAGGATGGGCTTGACGGCAGCCTTGACGGCTTCCGTGACGGATTCCGTCAGCCTGGCTGGCCTTTGAACGGATGGGACTGTCTCGGTGGCGGACGCTGAGGACGTGGCTGTATCATTACTTCTGCCGGCGGAAGCGCACACGCGGACTTGACGAGAGAAGACGGCAGCGCTGGATGAGGAAGGAGAGATTTGAGATCTTAATTGGGTGTTTGCGGCGATCCTCGCTGCGCCGGAGAGAGACTGCTGCTTCTTAGAAGCGAGCGGAAGAGGCGTGAGGCCTTTGCATTGGAGCACACCAGACTGGAACGCGACAGCGGAAGCCATTAGCGTTTAACCGACTCTGCAGGCTAACTTCGTTTACCTGAGATCGGCGTGCTTTGTGCTCGAATTTTACACAAAGACGGCGCGATTTCTGAGTAATTGATTGCATGAGAGCATGGTTATATTTATGATACTAAAATATCGTCTGGAAGAGCAAGACGAGAAGGATGGAGGGCAAAGGGTGGTTGTGGGGTGGTGGGGAAGGGGGGAAAAAACAGGATGAGTTGAGAGAATGTTCTAGATTTTCGCCCTTTGTGCATTCCTTCTCACCCGTCGGATTTCTCGAAATCTGGATTTAGAAGCAGGTGCGCCGTCCGTTACTGCAGTACGACGATGCGGCTCGGGTGGCAGTAAGTCAGAGGATAGAGCCAGTTGCATCCGAGCTGGATTTGAACGCGAGATTCGTAGAGTGATGAAATTTCAGGGTGGGAGGGAAGAGTTGAGCTGAGTGGATCTTGAGCGACGGTCATTCGAATTGCCACGTCGGACCATCCGAACACCAGCTTGTTTTCTAGGCCACGTGAGAGCAAAAGATTCTGTCCACAAAGAAGCATTCGATTACTAACAGGTCGAGGATCTTAGTACACTGCTGAAAGGAACTGACATACACGTGAAGTCTAGCATTTGGCTTAGAGGATACGATAGAAGGTTGCATAGCAAACAACTGATAATGATCCACTATTAACTGAATTCTGATCAACCATGACAGCCTTGAAAAACTTCAGGGCCGCCATATATTTTATCAGACTCTTTGAACAACCCAATGTGTAGTGATTTCACATCGGTTTAGATTCGGCATCCACGTGGCATTGCGAACCTCAGAGTACTATATTTGTACCTATACGTTGGGCATTCTACCACCTATGCCTTTATCCCACATAACAAAGCAAGGCTACGACTATAGTTTTCTCGGGGCCCATAGAAGTTTCTTCCAAGTCTACAACCATAATGAAGGTCACGACAAATAACGGTTTTATCATGCTCCTCGGAAATGCGAGCGTCATCGACACGGAACTTCCTATATCAAGACTTCAGTGCTCAGTTTCGGCCCATTCTCGGTTTTTCACCAGACCTGCAGAGCTTGCCACCATTGCACCATGGCGAGACCCAATCAAATGATGACCGTTCAACTGGCGGTTTTTGGTGATTAAGACGTTGCTGACGAAGCCATCGCTCAAAGGTGTTGTTCGGCTGTTCATGGAGGCACTGCACAAAACGCTGGCCAAACGCCTCTCCGCTCTGAAGCTACAAAGTCTGGAGGACGGAGGGCGCGAAGGGGGGGGGGGGGGGGGGGGTGGGGGGAAGGGAGAGTGGGGTGTGATGGGAAGGCATGTCGAAGGATCCATATCGTGATGCCATAGAGAAAGGTGATGGAGACGATACACCTCAGCGACGACCCTGAGTAACGGCCGAATCCGAAGATGATCGGCGATGTCACTGCTCATGCATGCTTCTCCATTGTGCCGCTACTCCCAATTGACAAGGTCCTAGAGCTTCGTGATGATTAAGGGGTCGGTGGTGCTCTAGAAGAAATCGTTGTATAGAAATGTGCTACTGACCATGAAGTTCCAACTCCTCCGGCCTGCGTACCTGTCGAGGCATAATTATGAGAGGCAGCAATTTACCTACCAAAAAGTTGTTTGGCACCAACTTCATGTGGTGTGTGAAGTACAGCATGTCTGCATCGCTACGATAAGGGCGGTTCTGAACTTGCAGCATCTGGAGAACAAGACTTTCTTACATGAATGAACATGCGGCAAATTTAGATGCCATCGAAGTGTTATTTAAGGGAATCACGGCGGTGATCTCACCTGAGATGGTCTACAAACTACCTCGTAACAGTGACGCTGGTGAAGCGCGATCGTACGACTTTCCTCAAAGGTGTGGCCTTACAAAAGGTGCTCGATTGAGTCACCAGGACAAATACGGACAAGATATATAGTCTCGTATTTCGGCATCCGGGGAATAAGTACTGATGGTGGCATAAGCTGTATGACCCTTTTCATATTGGCAACAAACGGTTAATGCATTTCCACCACTACCATGTGATTTTTGAAATAGCATGCACATAATTCATTCGCATGTCGATCAGCAAGAAAATATTAAGAATTAGAATGTCACCCTGTTGCGCATCCACGAGATCAACGGTAAATAGTTAACTACTTGTGGAACTTAATGAAAAAGAGTGAATGACTATGAAATGAAGTGGGTACAAATAGGAAACCCTAATTGGGTTGTACCCCCTATGGGATACCCCACTATAGCCTACAGAAACAAGTAAGCTATATGTTCTGACACACCCCCATAGGCAAAGTGGGGGAGAACAAGGGGTCACAAGACCAGTCAAGCAAAGCAAAGCAAAGCTCAGGGTGGATCACAAAGTCACCACGCATTCCGAGCACAAGTTCAAAGGCCAGAAGGCCAGTTTACATGCAAGATCATATATAGAGATATACAAGAATCAAGCAAGCAAGAGCAAGAGTATATATATATATATATGCGAAGGTACAAGCAAGGTCAAGAGGAGAGTAAGTGAGGCAAGACAGCCACAAGACCCAACTGCGTGCAACAACGCTGATGATCACAAGGCGCAAGTGCCTTGGTGAACACATCAGCAGTGTTGGCTTCAGAGGCCACGTACGCAAGTCGTAGCTGTCCACGCTGCTGTAGCTCACGAGCAAGAAAGTAGCGGAGAGCAATGTGCTTCGTTCTGTGCTCCAGTCGCTTCTCTCGACACAAGGCCAGCATGGCCTTGTTGTCTACGTACAGGACTGGAGGAGAACGAGGCTGCTCTCCAAGGTCGGTCAGCAGGTAGGTGAGCCAGCGTAACTCCTGTGCAGCCATAGCCCCAGCGTAGATCTCAGCCTCACAACTGGAGCCGAGAACAGAAGACGAGCGGGTAGCCCGCCACGAGACAGAGCCGGAACCTAGGCTGAAGGTGTAACCCTGTGACGACCGCTGCGTAGCCTGGTCGTCAGCCCAAGAAGCGTCTGCGTGCCCAGTGAGGACCACTGGACTGCGCCCTCCAAGCACTAGCCCCATGCGCGACGTACTGCACAAGTAGCGCAACACCCTCTTCGCTGCAGCCATGTGCTCTGGTCGGTGTCTCCCAGGAGCAACAAAGCGTGCGAGAATGCTAAGAGGGTATGCGAGGTCAGGTCGTGTGCAGGTCATCAGGTACATGAGGCAGCCAACAAGCTCTGCAAACGGGCCACTCGACTCTACGGACTCATCCGAAGGCAGAGCTGAGAGCGAGTGGCGAGTAGGCAGAGGAGTGGCCTGAGGCGAGGAGTACGTGAAGCCGAAGCGCTGAAGGACCTGCTGCACCATGTGTGACTGAGTCAGGGTAATGGTGCGGCGTGCTCTGTCCCGGGTGATCTGCAAGCCAAGGTAGCTGCGCAGTTCACCCAGGTCAGTGCACGTGTGTCTCTTCTGCAGCTCGGACTTCACGTAGGCGAGTCCAGCAGTGTCAGCTGTGGCAAAGACCAAGTCGTCGACGTACACGAGGATGTAGAACGGCGGCAGAGAGGTGTCGGTGCGAAGAAACAGCGACGGGTCGGCAGTAGAAGGAGCAAACCCAAGTGCCGCGAGCGTAGTCCTCAGTGTGTCGTGCCACTCACGTGGCGCTTGGCGGAGACCGTAGACTGGACGCCGGAGACTCCACTGGGTACCAGGAGGGAAAGACCCAGTGAAGCCAGGTGGGCGACGCAGCCAGATCTCCTCGTGCAGGCTGCCCTGCAAGAAAGCAGTGCTGAAGTCAAGAGAGTGCAGCTCGTAGTCACGGTGAGCAGCAACGTGCAGCAGAACCCGAAGAGTGGTCATCTTCGGGGTGGGGGAGAAGGTCTGAAAGTAGTCAACCCCCTGCCGCTGACTGAAGCCACGAGCCACGTAACGCGCCTTGAAGACAGGCGGAGAACCCGGCGGCCGCTTCACCCTGAAAATCCACATGCCACTGACGATGTTCGCCCCAGGAGGGGGAACAGCGTCAACGTAGGTGCCTGTGGACTTCCAGGAAGCCATCTTTGCATCCATAGCTGCCTGCCACTGAGAGGAGTAGGGACCCTCTATCGCCTCTGCGTAGGAGCGCGGAGTCGGGATGTCTGGTGCATCCGGGTCTCCCTCAGGGGCTAGCAGTACAGACGCAAGACGAGGTGAAGCAGCGGCCAGACACTGGAACTCCTCCTGCCTGTCCTCAAGGACGTCCGTGCCAAGGGCACACTCACCCCCGACGGACGGAGGACAGGCGGACTCAGACTCAGTGACAAGACGAGCAGCGTAGTCTAGACGACAGCGCGCAGCAAAGTCGACAAGCTCAGTGACAAGGGCAGACGCAGCAGACGACTCGAAGGAAGGGTCAGTGACAGCAGTAGCAAGGAGACGCGTGACAGTAGGACTGGCAGCGCGAAGAGAGTCCGACTCAGGGTCGGCAAGAGCAGGAAGAGAGGAAGCAGGAGGAGAAGGCAAAGGGGCACGCAGAGGAGCAGTGGACAGACGCAGTGACATCCAGTGCGTGCCAGGGACAGGAGGAGGACGCTGACGCGAACCACGACCACTAGCGCGCTCAGTACGAACAGGCGACGCAGGACGAGACGCAGGCTCACGACGCTCAGTAAGACCTCCAGTCGGACCAGCGTAGGGAGAAGGAGCAGGCAAAGGGGAGGCAGGCTGTAGCTGTGGCTGTGACCGAACAGGCTGCGGACCCTCTAAGGGAGCAGGAGGAGGTGCAAGACCAAGAACCTGCTGCAGGAGCGGAACGAAGTACGGTCGGGGCCGCGCGGCGACACCAGAAACAGCAGGAACAGCAGCAGCAGCCCCGTCCGGAGCACCCACTCCAGCAGCACCTCCAGCAGAACCACAAGAAGCTCCAGAACCTCCAGCAGCAGCACCAGGAACACTGTCAGTCGGACCGCCAACCGCAGGCTCAGCGCCAACACCCTCAGCAGGACCAGCTCCAGGAGAACTCTCAGACCCAGCAGCTCCAGCACCCACAGTACGAGCACCGC